GGGTCAGTATTGGGGTTCTTTGGAGCCCGCTCCGACGGCTGCCGCCCGTAGTTCGAACTACTCCGGAGGATGAGGTGGGAGTGTCTCTCGATCCCAGGAGTTCGAGTCTGCACTAATTATGATCGTGCCACTGCACCGCGGCCTGGGAGACAGAGTGAGATTCCATCTCTAAAAAACAAAAACAAGATAGTAATAATGGGGCTTTTTGACAGGAGTGATGGCAGTCTGTGGTCACTGACCGTGGGCATGTCAGCCACGGTGACAGGTTAGGTCAGCTCGATTTCTAACCTGAGTTGAAAGTTCAGCTCATTAATTTCCAGCCTTCTTTGATTCACAAGCTTCCTTACACAGAAGCTTTGGTGTGTAACTTTTTTTTTATTTATAGCTCAAATCTAAGCGTTTGTTAAAAATTTTCAGTTTTTTTTCTTTGACCCATGAGTTACTTAGAAGTGCATTTTCTGTTTCAGATAATGTCTGGGTAAGGCTCAAGTCGAAAAATTGCTGACCCTGTAAACATTTTTTAAAAAGGAAAAGAAAAATTGCTTTGTGGTCTAGTTCATGGTCAGTTTCATAAATGTCACATCAATTATGTAAAAATAATGTGCTATGTTCTCTAATTGTATTGTTAAAGATATTCATTAAGCGTATCTCCTCACAGGTTATTTTGTCTGCTTGATTAATTACAGGAAGGTAGACTACTCACACCAGAAAGATTATTTGTCCACTTCTCCTTCCTTTTGTCACTTTCTGCTTCATATAGTTGAAATTATACTATCATTTGCATCAGAACAATTAGATATAATTTTCCCTTGGAATTGTAAAAATGTTAAAAAAGGAACAATATCCAGTGCTGCAAAGCATTTGGGAAAATGAGTTGTTTTATAAATTGTTGTGGGAGGCTTGAATTGTAACATCTTTTGAGATATTTAGTCATGTCTATGTGAATTTTGCTATCCTTTTTCCAATTTTTCTTTGGCCTTTTTTTGTTTTTTTTGACAATCTGTATTCCATCTTATTACACATGTGCCATTAGAATGTATGTCTTGAATTTTTTTTTTAAGTATCTAAATAAAAAATATTTATAAAAATTCAGCTTTCTCTTAGTGAAGCCATGGTCAATCTATTGAATCCATCAACCTGTGACATTCCACCTTGTCACAGCCATTCTGGCTTCTGGGACTGGTGTCTTCTCCTCCATCTCCCCCTGGGACAGATTCTGTCAGCGTTTCACCAGTATTGGTGAAGGGCCTTCAGTAAGCCATTTCTGTTATGTGATGGCAGTCTCCGTGTCTGTCCTTCCTGCTGGGCTATGTGCTCCATGTAGGCTGAGGCCTGTCTTGCTCCACCCTGGCTCTATCCCCGGCACCAAGGGGATACCTGGCACATCCCTGGGGCCTGCTATGACACCCTGCTTTGTTTCTCTGTGGTTGCCCCACCCCATGAGGAATCTCCCTTGCTCTGCTGCACCTAGTGGCTTTAGGACTGAATTGTTCAGGAAGGGAAAGGAGCAGAGCAGTGGTTTTTGAAAAAAATATTTTAACTGTGGAAATTTTTGTGCAAGCAAAATTTTGGACAGATTATGTAAAACAGAGCTGCTCTGGTTGAAGAGAGAATGAAAGAGCAAGAGATAGAGAGATGGAGGAAGAGAGGGAAATAGAGAGAGAGAGTCTTTGGCCTTTTATTTTCCTTGGCGATTGTTAGAGTTGTTTTA